TTGAGTTGTGTTTAGCTTCCGCATGTGCATACGATGACTGTTGCTTGATGTTGTGTGTGATTGCGTGATGATTGCATTGAACTTTTTGTGTGCATGTTGAATGTTCATTGCTTTCATACAAATGTTGAGCTTCGGCTATTTTGGGGTTGGGTCGGGATGACTAGCCGTAGACGGGTTCCGGACTCACTGGGCATTTAGTAGAAATGCTCATTATACAAATTTTGTCCTGCAGGTAACCTATAGACAGGAAACCTTAGAGGGTTCGTGGGACGTTAGGCCGCCGGAGTAGTTTGACGTTGTGAGTGTAAGCATAATAGATTGTATTATGTAAGACTATTTTGACTCGAGCTCTATTATATGATTTTTGGTAACTGTTTGTAAGCATACTTTATTAAGTAATAATAAAAGAGAGTTTTTATGGAACTCCTTGCTTTTCCTGATATTAGACCTTGTCTGGGTCGAAACAACTCAAGACCGGGAATGGGTTGAAAAGCCTTAGGCCTTGGTCGAGAGGCATGGTATCGGATGCGGTCTAGCCAAGACGGTATGGGATGTGTTGGCCGGATTGTCTCTGTTATCATTCTGTAGCACTCTGGGTTTTTTCTATTCATAGATCGAATCGGGGGTGTTTTTCAGGTGGTGGCTGAAACTGGTGTTGAACCGGCGCCTGCTGTTGGAACTGTGGTGGACCAAACCATGGTGGTGCCATTTGCTGTTGCTATGAACTGAAACCAGTACCCTGAAATGGTTGTTGTTGCTGACCAAAACCTTGATTCTGAGCAAACTGATTCTTAGGTTGAAAATACCCTTGAAAGTTGTTCTTGGGAACAAAGTTTTGTGGAGCTTGAGAATTGGGATAGACCTGGTCTTGTGGGTTTGCTACATTGGGATTCCTGTAAGAGAGGTTCTGATTTGCATTGCCATACTGATATCTCTGGAACCTCTGTTTGCCAATGTAGTGAAGTTCCTCCTGGGCTAGACCTTCTTCACTTATGTTCTCAAAGATCTGAGAAGGTTCCTCATACTCACCAACAAAGTGCATTGGCTTTTGAGTGGTGAATTTCAACTTGTCCAATTCACTTCTCAACTCCTTAACTTCTCTAGTGAGCCTCTGTTCTGAGCTTGAACCTTCAGATCTATTTGATTTGTCATAGTCTTCACCATAAGTGTCATTGCTCATTGCTAAGTTCTCCACTAGCTCTAAGCAGCATGAATCTCTTTTCCTAGAAATTTTGCATTGCAGGCAGTATCCAGCTGGTTTCTAATCTTGGGAAGAGCTCCTCTATAAAGTGTGCTGAGAAGAGAAGCCTCACTAAACCCATGGTGTGGGCATTGGTTTGTGTAGCTTCTGAATCCCCGGCAACGGCGCCAATTGATAGACAAAAACTTTTTAGGTCTCAGGGCTATCAATCCCCTTGTCAAAGTAGCATAAAAGAGGTTGTCAATCCAAGAATGTGGGGATAGACACTGAGCTATATGATCAGTTTCTCAATTCAAGTAAACAGGTGAGGTTTTGATTGATTAATGACAACTAAAAACTTAAACAAGATTAATGACTAAAGAAGTGATCAACCAAAGACAAGCAAATAACAAGATGATGATGAGAATGTATGTATGATGATGAGAAAGGTCTTAGACATGATAGTGGATTAGGGTGCCTTCAGTGATAAACTAGTGAGCTAATGAACCATATGATCAAGCAAACCATTCAACTTAAACATCATTAATTAAGTTAATCCTCTCATGAAGGTATCAACTTCTATGCCAAAACAGTTTCTAACCTAATCATCATTAGTGAAACATGAATCAACAAGCATTAAGAATCAGTTTAATCTGTCATTTAAGCATATAAACAATCATTCCCATGATGAATAACACTTAAACCTCTAACAACCTTGGTTCAGGCATTTCATTAAACACTTTTGGTGCATAAAATGCCCAGAATCTAGACCACATATGATGTGTATGGATCTAGCATTAAGAACAGGTTGTAGAGAATGGAATATGCATGATCTAACCCCTAAGCTTACTAATCTACCACTTAAGCACCCTAATCTACATATCTAAGACCTTAATATGGAGATTACTCACTAATCAGGATCAACACACTAGATTCTTTGCAAGATGTGTTGTTAATCATGATTAGAAGTGTGTAGATGAAGAGATAGATGATAGATTCAGAAGAAAACAGCTTTAAACACAAAGATCTCTCAAACTCTCTTGATTAAACCCTCAAAAATCAATATATCTCTTCTTAAGAGGAGTCTTTTCACAAAAGAGGCAAGAGACAAAATGAATAAAGCTTAGGTTTTGGGAAAAAAACCCTAAAAACTATATATATGTCTCTAAAACGAACCGGGTCAGCCCGGAACAAACCGGGTCATGACCCGGCTTTAGTGGGTGAAGTGACGAATGTGCGAGTTGGTCAAGAGTCTCCCAGGTCACATGCCCAAGTCGCATAGGTGAAGAAACTGTATTGTGAGGCTTAAATCCCTTAGTCTCAGCCGCACGCCCAAGTAGATGTGTTTTGCGAGTCTTTTTGCGGTTTAATCCTCTTCCTCTCCAAGTCGCATGACCAAGACGAAATCTGGGCAAGGTGTGTGTGCGACTTGGTCATCCCTTGGTCCCAAGCCGCATGCCCAAGTCGCATGACCAGAGGAAGAAACTTGAACGAGGTAAAACCCTTGTAAACTCAGCCGCATTACCTTCTCGGTGTGATTTGCGAATCCGTCTGCGGCCTGGTCTCCATTACTCCTTAACTCGCACGACCATGTAGCAGGGACCTTCAGGGATGTGTGTGGCTTGGTCTCCATTACTCCCAGGTCGCAGGCTCAAGTCGGTGTAGATTGCGAGTCCTCGTGCGGTTTAGTTCCAAGCGCGGCCAACTCGCATGCCTAAGTCGCACGGTTGTGGACTTAGCATTTTTCTTGCTCGGAAGCCTCAGACCTTATCCAGTGATAGCTTACTCGCACTTCTCAACTCGCAGCTTAACCTCCAGGCATTCATCTTCAGTCGTTGCGAGTTAACCAAGTCGCAAGACCATCTCGCAGCATTCAGGGCTCCTTTGACCACTTCACATTCATAGGAGAGTAACTTTCAGGATACTGGTCCAAACGGTGTAGTTCCAGTTTCAGTGGACAGAATACTCATACATCTTCAACTTTTATGAAGGGCTCGAGCTCAGGCGACGTCGGCAAAGACTCCGTTCTGCCAGTTCTTTGACGCGCGTTGCATTGGTCTTTTATCAGCTCCGAGACATGCACTGCGTCCGATCGCCGTAACTTTCAACTCATAACTCCAAATATGACGATTTCAGGTGTTCTGGAACTCGACCCTCTTGATTCTTGATGAAGACTCTGGAAGGTGAATCGCATTGCAAGTCCTTCGTCCCACGCGATCAAAGTGAGGGTTTTGTCTGCGCCAAACCATCTGTCCGAGTTGTTGCACACAGGTGAGGGTTCCTCCACGATCCCAGCTCCAAGTTGCTCCCAAAAGTCTCCAAATGACCTGAGAACACTCCAAAAATGCAGGACACTCTAGGACCTAATGCAAATCCTAAACAAAGCTAGAACCTAAGAAAAACTCTAACAAAACTAGCTAAATGTATGCATGAAAAATTATGAATATATCAATGGACGTCTCCGTTATAGGAGAAAAAAGCTACCTACGGAGGTTAAGTAAGCCAAGATAGATCCCGGTCTGAAATACATTATGTTATTCTGGTATGAGAGCGAGAGTTAATGGTAGAGATTAAGTTATTAGATGATTAGGGTGACGAGAGTTGGCTAATTTTATAAGTGTCTATCCTAGTTTCAGAATTATAGAAAATTCTTACTTTGATTCCCTGTGTTATAGATCATGAACCCTAGAGATGAACCCTAAGCCAGAGCTGTTTTTCATATAATTTTAATTCTTTGCTTAGTTATTTAGATTCAGTGACAACCAAAACACCCTTATAATTTGATTAGTTCTACAATTTATTTTAGCATCAGTTAGGAGTCCTCAACACACAAATCCATGTGGATTCGATCCCTAAGTACTACTGTGTTTGCTGTGCACTTGCAGCTTTGTTTAGGGTAAAACATGTAGTTTTCCACTGCACCTACATCAAGTTTTCGGCGTCATTTCCGGGTATTTGTGTGCTGTTGATTTGATTTCTCAATCTAATTTCAATTCTAGACCACAAGATTTTCGAGTTATACTAGAGTTTTTCTAACTTCTTTTTTTTATCTTTGCTTTCTTTGCTCTCACGTGCATGAAAACTAGGAGAAATCCTCCCAACATTGTACCACCCCTAGACGAGATCGACAAACACGAAAGAGAACTTTGGAGACTCAGACGAAGAATGCTCAAGATGGCCGATCCATTCACTCATCAGGAAAATACTTTAAACCGTGATCAAGATGGTCTAGATGGAGATGATGATGATTGTGATTCTATTCACGATAATGAACAAGTGGCTGATCAGGAAGCTGATGACCAGATACTGCTCGATGAAAAGGGAAATCAACTCCCTTGACGTGCTGCTCCGATCCCAAAGAGCAAAGGAATAATTAAAACATTGTTCCACCTAATGGAAGAGAAGCAAACGACCTATACAACTTGTAAATCCTGCAAGAAGACAGCCCCACATTAGAATCATTGCTGATTTTGATGCACCTCACCCACACTTTCAAAATAGATCAGCTATTTAAATACATATGCCAGCAAAGGGTGATTTCGAGATAAAACCTCAAATTGTGTCCTTTTGAAGCAAAATCAATTTCATGGAAACTCTACTAAGCATCCTATCGATCACATGAGTCTTTTTGAAGACATCTGTGGCATGGTGAGAACCACTCCAAGTTCTGCAGATTATGTGAAGTGTAAGCATTTTCCTTTCTCTTAAAGTGATAAAGCATTTAGATGGTTGAACTCTATGCCATCTGGCTCTATTACTTCATGGGATGAATGCAAGTCAGCTTTCCTGAACCACTTTTACACCAAGTCAAGATTGAACCAGCTGAGAAATAAGATCCAAAGTTTTAAACAAGGCCCCATAGAGTCATTCTACGAGGCGTGGGAATGATTCAAGGAGTATACGAGAGATTGCCCTGATCATGGTTTCTCTGGAGCAAACCTGCTAAGCACCTTCTACAGAGGATTTCAACAGAAGTATTCACTTTCTTTTGACACTACCAGTATTGGATATTTGAGTTTAAAGACTGTGACACATCTGATACCAATTGTGAGACCCCGCTCCCTTCTTCCTTACCGGGAACCAGACGGACCGGCTATCAAATCCATGACACCCAGAGTCTGCCTTTCATCTGGATTGGCTATCAACTCTGAACGCCCCCAACTGCCCCTGCCAGTGAGCCCAACGCCGTATAATCGGGGGCCCAACATCCTCTCTCTAGGCTTGTTGGCCCACCAACCACCCCTACTAGTGAGCCCAACACCCTCTTTCTAGGCTCGTTGGCCTACCACTGTCCGACGGTTGGCCTCTTTCTATGTCCATGGGCCCACCCCTGTCCGACGGTCAGGAGTCGCTTGGTCCGAGAGGCTCGTAAGAATTGTCTACTGTCCCTGCAACCACCACGTGATCTTTCCTCGTGCTTTGTCCTCACTCGCACGGTACCACAGACTACTTCCCGGTAGGTCACCCATCCTAAGATTTGCTCCAGCATAAGCACACTTAACCATGGAGTTCTCTCAAGACACTTGACCGGAAAAGATAAGTGCACTTTGATGACATAGGTAGCCAAATCAATTCTTATAAGCCTTTTCACATATACCGGAAATCGGGATGTCATAATTCTCCCCAACTTCCAAGGAATTAATCCTCGAATTCTCAACCACGTCCCAAGATGCCACCCGGGTCAAAGCTGGTTGGCTAACCTGACGCTCTGATACCAATTATGAGACCCTGATCCCTTCATCCCGACCAGGAACCAAACGGACCAGCTATCAAATCCATGAGACCCTGAATCTGCCTTTTATCTGGATTGGCTATCAACTCTGAACGCCCCCAACTGCCCCTTCCAGTCGGTCTCATCTACGAACACATGTGCTCGATGGTTCTACTTCATGTCCAACTCACACACCCAAGTCGCATAGCTTTTTGGACTTAGCCAAATTTGATTATGGAGGTCTCTACCTTGATCAGAGTCTCCTTACACGCATCTCTAAAGTTGCAGCTTGCTTCCAGAGTTTGAACATTTATGGGTGCGAGTTTATGATGTGGTGTGTGTCGAGGGTTATCAAGTTTTACCCTAAATGAAATCAATAGCCGCAAGTGCACAGCTGGTATGGAGGTGGTGGCACATATGTCTTCTCTGGTTCAGGTTCTTTTGCTACCTCTTTACCCTTTTCTGTCCTTGGTTTCTCAGCAACTTGATCATCTTTTAAGGCTGCCTCCCCCTCAGTTTGATCATTGTCCTCAATGATCACATTGTTGTTCTCAATACCAGGTAACTCCTTTCCACTCCTCAGTGTGATGGCCTTAGCATATTCCTTAGGGTTGGGTTCAGGCTTTCTAGGTAGGTGACCTTGGTTCCTTGAGCTTGAGGCCTGGTTCTGCTTCAGTTCCTTGATTTCCTGCTGCATGGCTGCATTCTGGCTTGCAAATATCTGTTGACCCTGAAGTAGTTGTTGCAGAATACCAACCATATCTGACCCCATCTGTGGCTGCTGCTGAACCGTTGTTGGCTGAAAGTGTTGTTGAACCGGCGCCTGCTGTTGGAACTGTGGAGGACCAAACCCTGGTGGTGCCTTTTGCTGCTGTGAACTGAAACCAGTACCCTGAAATGGTTGTTGTTGCTGACCAAATCCTGATTCTGAGCAAACTGATTCTTGGGTTGAAATGACCCTTGAAAGTTGTTCTTGGGAACAAAGTTCTGTGGAGCTTGAGAATTGGGATAAACCTGGTATTGTGGGTTAGCTACATTGGGGTTCCTGTAAGAAAGGTTCTGATTGGCATAACCATACTGATATCTCTGGAACCTCTGATTTCCAATGTAGTTTAGCTCCACTTGGGTTAGTCCTTCTTCACTTATGTTCTCAAAGATTTGAGAAGGTTCCTCATACTCTCCAACAAAATGCATTGGCTTCTGAGTGGTGAATTTCAACTTGTCCAATTCACTCCTCGACTCCTTAACTTCCCTAGTGAGCCTCTGTTCTGAGCTTGAACCTTCAGATCTATTTGATCTGTCATAGTCTTCACCATAAGTATCATTGCTCATTGCTAAGTTCTCCACTAGCTCTAAAACAGCATGTATCTCCTTTCCCAGAAAGTTCCCATTGGAAGCAGTATCCAGCTGGTTTCTAATCTTGGGAAGAGCTCCTCTATATAGTGTGCTGAGAAGGGAAGCCTCACTAAACCCATGGTGTGGGCATTGGTTTGTGTAGCTCCTGAATCTCTCATATGCTTCACCAAAACTCTCATTGATGTGCTGAGCGAAGCTAGAGATTTGGTTCCTCAGTTTTGCAGTTCTTGAGGTGGAGAAGAACTTAGATAGGAAAGCTTGCTTGCATTGCTCCCAGGTTTGAATGGAGCCTCTTGGAAGATTCTTTTCCCATTGGTGAGCTTTGTCACCAAGACTGAATGGGAATAATCTTAGCTTGAAACTGTCCTCAGAAACTCCATTAATCTTGGTCAGGTCACACACTTTATCAAATTGATCCAAGTGTTCCAAGGGATCTTCCATTGCTAGTCCATGGAACTTTGAGTTCTGGACCATATTCAACAAGGATGCCTTCAGTTCAAAGTTGTTGTTTTGCACAGGTGGTGCCTGAATTCCAGCTCCATACTAATGAGCATTGGCCCTGTCATTCTCTCCAACATAGACTTGTGGTTGCTCATATCTTCTTTGCTGGTGTTGGAAGGGCTGATGTTGGTGGTGCACCTGTTGTCTTTGCTGTACATTGGCCTGATGCCTCTGTTGATGAGCTGGAGCTTGTCCCTGGTGGACATAAGCTTGTTGGTGATGCATCTGTTCCTGATGAACATTACCCTGATGTAACCCCTAACCAACTCCATGACCAGCTACATTACCAGCTCCATCACCCTGAGCTTGTTGCTCCTGAACTGGTTGTTCTATGTCTACCACGTGCTCTCTTTGTTCTTCCATATCAGCCTGATCAATCTGTCTTCCACGTCTGTCCCTTCTCCTCCTTGGTACCAAAAGATTGATGTTGTCGTTGAGAGGGAAAGGTGGACCACAGCTTCTTGATCTAGACCTGGTGTTCATGCACCTGAAATCACAAACAGAACTTGAAAGTAATCAGTAAAAACAAGAAAATAAGCACTTGATCTCAAGAACAGATCAGAGCTTAATGCTAAACAAACCACAATTTGGCAACGGCGCCAATTGATAGACAATACTTTTTAGGGTCTCAAGGCTATAAATCCCCTTGTCAATGTAGCACAAAGAGGTTATCAATCCAAGAATGTGGTGATAGACACTAAGCTATGTGATCAGATTCTTAATTCAAGTAAAAAAGTGAGATTTTGATTGACTAATGACAACTACAAACTTAAAACAGGATTAACAACTAAAGAAGAACTAAACAATGACAAGTGATATGGATATGATATGATGGAGGCATGAGATTCTAGACATGATAGTTGGCTAGGGTGCTTTGGTGCTAAACTAGGAATGCTAATGACAATGATGAGACAGGATTCAAATGATTAAGAACTCTAATCTAGATTAATCCTCTCATGAAGGTATTAACCCCTATACTAATCCATTTTCAAACCAAATCATCATTTGTGAAATATGAATCAGTATGCATTAATAAACAGTTCTAAATGATCATTCAAGCAAATAACAATACATCATCATGCAGCAAATGCTTAAACCTCTAATACAGCTCTTTCAGGAATTTCATCAAACACTTTTGGTGCATGAAATTCCCAGAATCTAGATCTCAAGTGATGTGCAAGGATATAGCCTAGAGAACAGCTGTTTAGAGAGATGAATCAATGAATCTAGTCCTAAGCACTCCTAATCTAACACTTTAGCACCCTAACCTCCACATCTAGAACCTCATTAAGGTGACTACTCACTAATCATACTAATCTCTCTTAAACCTTTGCAAGTTGAGAAGATTGGCATGATTAATGATGAGAAATTGAGATGGAGATGATAGATTCAGAAGAAAACAGCTTTAAACACAAAGATCTCTTAAACTCTCTTGATTAAACACTCAAATATCTATATTTCTCTTCTTAGTGGAGTCTTTTCACAAAAGAGGCAAGAGACAAAGGGAATAAAGCTTAGTCCTTTGGGAAAAAACCCTAAAAACTATTTATATGTCTCTAAAAACGAACCGGGTCAGCCCGGAACAAACCGGGTCCTGACCCAGCTCTAGTGGGTAAAGTGGAGAATGTGCGAGTTGTTCAAGTGTCTCCCAGGTCGCATGCCCAAGTCGCACAGATGAAGAAACCCTCTTGTGAGACTTGAATCCTTTGGTCTTAGCCGCACACCCAAGTAGATGTGTTTTGCGAGTCTTTGTGCGGCTTGAACTTCTTCTTCTTCAACCCGCATGACCAAGGCAAAATCTGGGGAAAGTACATGTGCGACTTGGTCATCCCTTAGTCCCAAGCCGCATGCCCAAGTCGCACAACCAAGGAGAGGGGCTTGAACGAGATAGAACCTTGTAAGCTCAGCCGCATGCCCATCGAGGTGTGAATTGCGAGTCTTTGTGCGGCTAAGCCTTCTGTGATCCTTAACTCGCACGACCATGTAGCAGGGACCTTCAAAGATGTGTGCGGCTTAGTCTCCATTATTCCCAGGTCGCACGCTCAAGTCGGTGTAGATTGCGAACGTCTGTGCGGTTTCGTTCCAAGCGCGGCCAACTCGCATGCCTAAGTCGCACGGTTGTGGACTTAGCATTTTTATTGCTCGGGAGCCCCAAACATTATCCAGTGATAGCTTACCCGCACTTCTCAACTCGCAGCTCAACTTCCAGGCATTCATCTTCAGGCCTTGCGAGTTAACCAAGACGCAAGACTATCTCGCAGCATTCAGGGCAGCTTGGACCACTTCGCATTCAGGGAGGCGTAACTTCCAGGATATTGGTCTGAATTGTATGAGGTTTCAGAGGACAGAAGACTCATA